CTCTTCCCAGGCCCTCCCCAACTCACCTCCTCCTGGGAAAATCTGTCACACTGTGTTGTGAGCAACTCCTCCAGGCTGAGAAGGTAACATTTGGGAGGTGAGATTGGGTTTATAAATCCTATCCCCTCTCATTTCCTTCCTGTTACCCCATTCTTCGCTGAAACCAGGGTGGCTCTTTTTAGTCTGGCTCTCTCCCAAATGCTGTGACCTCCTGTCTCAAGTTTCTCTCCTTAGTCGCTGTGAAAATGCAACCTGTCGCCCAGTCCTTGCTGTTCTCTCATTCCGCCAACCTCGAGCTCTGACATAGGAACCTAAGGAGCTATTGAAGGGGGCCACTCACAACTGCTTCTTGATGGTACCCTTGCCCTCTGGGTCCAGGACCTTGAAGGCTCCGGTGATCACATCCTCAGGGTCCGCACCTGAAGGGTCAGAGGACACATGAGTTCAGCGAGCCCCTGAAGGTCTGGGAAGATGGAACTAGGGCCTCGAACCGAGGACATTTTACTAACCCTTCAGCTTCTCCCCAAACATGGTCAGGAAGACAGTGAAGTTGATGGGCCCACTGGCTTCCTTCATCATGGCGTCGAGTTCCTCATTCTTCACATTGAGACGGCCTGAACGGGGTGAGCAGCAGGGATTGGAGCTGGGTGCTGGGGACCAGAAGCCACTGGAGTCCCCTCAGCTTTCATAGCTTTCACTGTCTATGGGCGGGAGTAGGGGGCTCACCCATGGCTGCAAAGGTGTCCCGGAGATCCTCCTTGTCGATAATGCCATCTCGATTCTGGTCAATTACAGTAAAAGCCTGTGGAGGGTAGGGGTGGGGACAGGTGAAGCCAGGAATGGGCCCGAGGCTTCAGCAGTGCTGCCCCAGGCATATCAGATTTTGGCTCTCAGCCAGCTGACCCCCCCCCCCACCCTTCACGAGGAGGGGGAGGAATTCTAAACCTCCCCTCAACAGGTGCACTTTCCGGAGGTGGGGGATGGGGACTTTCTTTAGCTTCCCTTGCTCACCTCCTTGAACTCCTGGATCTGAGTCTGGTCGAACATGGAGAAGACATTGGAGCTCCCTTCTGCTGCTGCCCTTCTCTTGGCCTTCTTGGGTGCCTGTGAGGGTAGAGGTTGAGAAGGAGCGATTGCCAGCAGTTCCTGTACCTCCCTCCTGGGAGGTAGACCAGACTTCTGTTGTCATTAAAGGCTGGGTCTCATGCGGTAGCCCCTAGACTTGCTACTTGGCTGAGGATAACCTGACCTTCTGTTTGCTTGCCTCCGTCTCGACCTCCAAGTGCAGTTACCAGGGTCAGCATCCTAGGCGGCCAGGTCTGATTTTATTCTGTGGCCAGTCAAGCACCACCAGTCACAGAGTTACATTCCCACCTCCCTCTTTTTCTTAAATCAGGTGCGGGCTAATCCCAACAGAAGCAGGCAGATAAAACCACAAAGGAAAAAAATAAGACATTGGTCTCACTAGTTAGCCCCGGAGCTCATTGCGTAGACCTTGGCTCTCCTGACCTTGCAGAGAGGCATCTAATTCTCCCGAGTCTTGGGATTAAAGACATTCATCACCACCCCCAGCTCCTCCTTCCCTGTCTTTCTTTTTTCTTTTTCTTTTGAGACCAGGTCTCCTCATGTTGCTCAGGCTGGTCTAGAACTCCTGGACCCCAGTGATCCTACTCCCTCAGTCTTGGAAACAGCTGGAATTATGGCCATATAACACCATGCCTGATCAGATTCAGAGTTCTTTGAGTCCTTTTTTCTAAACTCTCTTTCTCTTTTTTGGTGCATCTTGGCTAAGAGGGCTCATTTTGGCTGTATCTCTTACATCCCAGCTATAGCTCCCGGGTCCCTTCATCCTGTCCAACAAGCACCCTTCTCAGGACTCTGGGCCTGCTAACCTGGCGCTCATACCTGCTAGCTTAATCTATTCCCTGTCCCTATCTGAACCTCTACTTCTCACTTATCGGATGGGAGTGGGATCATCTCACTGGCCCGAGGACTTTAGAGATGAGTACAGAAAGGATGGAGCAGACTTTGAGCAGCTCTGACCCCCCACTTCCCACGGGTGACCATCCAAGCATGCTGTCCTTGACTGAGTCCTTCAGCCCCTGCACCCTCTGCTCCACTCTGGTGCTGAGAGACCATCCATACCTCATCTGGTAGTTGGACTGAGAAACACCAACTTGTTTTTCTTTTTGAAGGGTGAGGCTACCCTGAGTTAGTGGCTTTGGACTGTGGCTGGGGATGTGCACTCACCATATCTTAGATCTCCTGGGGGCAAGGCAGTGGCTCCTGCTGGAAAAGGCAGAGGATCTGCTTGGGGCAGCTCTTCTGGGGTTATATAGTCCTGTCCCCACAGCCCTTAACATACCATGGTAACCTTAGCCCTGCAGATACCCACCCCAGATACTAAAATAGCCCAGCTCAGGGGCCTCTCCTTTCTTGGAGGCCTGCAGCAGCTGGAACCCAGAAAGGGAGGAGGGAGTAAGTCTTGGGATGCAAGTCTCATTAGGATAGGCAGAAAGAGATGTTCTTTCTCCCCAAAGGGGACTGGATTGTGCCAGAAATCAGAGAGGCCCCACCAATCCATAGTTCTGGGGGAAAAGAACCAGACCTTGGGCCCCTAAGTGGGGTGGCTCAGATCCAAACTTAGTGAGCATTTAATGCAGACCTACAATGTACTTGACTTTGTGGGTTCGCTTTAGTAAGTAAGCAAGTGATGGCAGTAACAGAACTCAGCGGAAAGCTAAGGAAGTGATTCAGGTGAGGGCTGATGGTCAGACATGCAAGACAGAAGGCACAGCACGTGGGCAAAGGTCGGGACAGTGAAAGGTCGGCTGTTAGGTTCGCCAGGATTGTGATGGGGCTAGATGTTCAGGGTTGGCCACCAGATACTGCGGGGTGTTCAATGACAAGCAGAGATGCCGGTGAACTTGGGAAGGGTTGAATAATCGAGGCTGGACCTCAGAAGAGAAGTGACAAAGGCCCCAAGAGGGAAGTGCTAGCTGTCACCTTCTCCCTAGGTAGCACAGCCAGTGACTTCTCCTTCCTGGAAAAGAACTAGTTTGGCTGACTTTGTGACTTTGAGGTCCCTTCTCATAAAGTTCTGGGCCCCAGTGCCACATTCTTCTCCATGCAATGGAGGTCTAGGGCAACAGCAGCAGAGGAAACCCCAGGTTGGCAGTGACACCCATCTCCTGCTCCCTTTAGGACCTGATGTCCTGAGGAATGTGTCTCCTCCCTCCCCTCCTCCAGTCCATGCCAATGCCACTAAGACATTTTCTTTTCTGGGCACTGGGGCCTAGCCACCTGTTGTCTCTAAGAAGAGAGAAAGAGCCACCCTAAACTTAGCAGCTGCCCTTGGCCTCCTGCAAGCCCCCCCCCCCCGCCCCTGCTTTACTTGGCAGCTGTTTTGCCTTATATGGGTACCGTGGGGGTCTACGTCATGGAGGAGCCCACTCATTAGTGGGTTCCGGGAGGAGAGAAAGACTCTAAAAAGGGAATGGGCCAGGGGGCATGCTCAGTAAACTTGAATCAGGTGGAAGGTGGGGAAGTGGAGAAAAAGACCCAACAGGTCATTACAGGGTCTGGGCTTGAGTTGGGAGTGGGGTAGTGAGCCAGCAAGACTGGGGAGCCTCACAACTCAAAAGCTAGGGGGGAACTGGGAAGTGGAGAGCAGGGCTCAGGAGAATTTCAGAGTGTAGATGCTGTGTTCATTTGGGGGCTCAAGAGAACAGAGGCCAGAGGAAGCGGTGTGTAGAAGCTAGAAGATCAGTGCTCATAAGGTCTGATCCTGATCTTTGTGATTTTGGTCTGAGGGCAACCTTGAGGGCTCATGAAATTGGAGTCTAGGTTGGTAGACACTGAGTTCTAAAGCGATGTGATAACGACAGGGCTTGGTTCTTGAATCCTCCAAAGAACAGGAATATAGATATGGAGGGTTCAAGGTACTGAGGATTCACAGATTTGGGTTCTGATATGGAAACATCCCTCCCCTCCCGCCTCAGAATGAAGCAGCATTCAGAGGGATAAGGTTTGAGAAATCGCAGCGTTCAGGGGAGAAGCTCAATTTATGTATGAGAACTTAGAGAAACCTGGTCCGGGATTCCTGCCTGAAGTAGGGAATTCAGAGAAACGAGCCTTTTAGAAGAGGCTGACTATAGTCTAATTAGAGGCACCCCGGTGGAGAGTGCTGGATGAGGGCACTAGGTTTGTGGTGCAGCTCAGGACCTGAATGAATGGAGGCCCTTTTGGAAACCCAAGAAGGCCAGCACGGAACTCTTATTGGCTAGGAGCCGCAGCGATGATGCTCCAGGCTCCTTCTCAGAGATGTCCCCAGCTGTCACCTCCTCTCGCGCTTGTCTCTGGTTGTCACTGACTATTCTTGCTCTGGCACCGCCTGCTGGCAGCACCCTGCCCCTCGAAGCTACCATTTGCTATTCTTCCTACCCTTTTGCAAAATGAAGAGAGACAGTCATTGGCTGATAAGTTAAGCACAAGTTCAGCCCGCCTCTCTCTAGGTGTCATTCCTTCCTGACCATCTCAGGAAGTCGAAGAATTCTTCAGCCCTTCCTATTGACTGTTGATGCTGTCAGTACATGAATAGACATGGCCGTAGGTCAAGTTGACCGCCCGGCCCTTTTTTCATTGGTTCCCTTTTCTCCGTTTCTATTGGCTAAGAGGTCCTAGGCCCTACCTCTTACTGCCCAGCCCCAGCCTCATTCCCCGCCCTTCCGCGATCACTCACACTTCAGCAGTGTTCATTGGCCAGGAGGCTCAGGGTCCCTTTTTCCTATTGCCCATTTTCTTCGTCCTGCCTCCGCCTTCTTCATTTCCTCTTTCTAGACTACCCACCCTCTTCCCGCCTCCAACCCCACCCACCCTCCCAGCGATTGGCAGGAACCCAGTTTTCTCTCTCCTATTATCTGTCCAGGTCCTCTGGAGGGGGCGGGAGAAAAGAAAAAAGGGGGGCGCGAGAGGTCCTTCCCTCGCGCAGGCGTAGTCCGGCGAGACTCTGGCGGCGCCTCGGCGTCTGCGCAGGCGCGTCGTCGCAGCCGGCCCCTCGCTGGGAGGGGGCGGCGCGAGCGCGCGAGCAGGGTGAGAGGCCGGGAGACCCCGGCGCGAGCGCCCCCGACCCCTGCCCCGCCTGCGCGCGCCGCCCGCCGCCTGCCGCCCGGTCCCGCCCCGCCCCCGGCGCGCGCCGAGCCGCGCCCTTCGCCCTCTCTGCAGCCCGGGCGGGCTGCTCCGGGCGGCCTGAGGGGCGGCGCCTTCTGCGGCCTCCGCGGCGGGGGGATGTGAGGGGCGGCCCACGGCTATGGAGACGGGCCCGGCGCCCCTGGTGGCCCCGCCGCGCCGTCACGGCGCCTCCGCTGCCCCTTCGCCTCCGCCCCGGGGCTCCCGGGCCGGGCCGGTACTAGTGGTGGCACCGGGACCGCCAGTGACTACGGCCACTTCTGCTCCCGTCGACCTGGTGGTCCCCGGGGAGGCTCAGCCCGCCTGGCTTCCAGGGTCGGCACAGACCACGGCCACGACGGCCACGGGCAGCACGCTGGTGGTGCTGACCCTGGAGGCCTCACCCGAAGCCGCGAAGACGCAAGAATCCCCTGCACCAGGGACAGAGGCAGGAGCGGAGACCTCGGTGGCCTTGGCTTCGGGAGCAGACGCTCCGAAGACGGAAGAGGCTCGAGCCTCGCCCGTCCCAGGACCAGGGACTCCAACTCGGACCCCTTCCAGAACGGCGCCTGGAGCCCTGACTGCCAAACCCCCGCTTGCCCCCAAGCCGGGAACCACAGTGGCTTCAGGAGTGACTGCACCGGGTGGAGCAGGACAGGTGACAGGTGGACATGGGGCTGCTACATCAGCATCCGCAGGGCCGGCGCCCGAGGACCCCTCGGGGCCTGTCCCAGGTCCTCCCGGGACGGGTGAGGCTCCGGTGGCTGTGGTGACGGTGACCCCAGCTCCGGAGCCTGTTGAAAACTTTCAAGACCTGGGCTCCACGTCCAGCCTCGGACCTGGCATCTCTGGGCCTCGAGGGCAGGCCCCGGACTCCCTGAGCTACTTGGATTCCGTGAGCCTCATGTCCGGGACCTTGGAGTCCTTGGCGGATGATGTGAGCTCCATGGGTTCAGACTCGGAGATAAATGGGCTGGCCCTGCGCAAGACGGACAAGTATGGTTTCCTTGGGGGCAGCCAGTACTCGGGCAGCCTGTGAGTACACGGTGGGCACTCCGTGGGGCTGCCTGTGGAAACTGGGGTGGGGGGGGGGGAAGGGAAGTGATGCCCCTGGCCAGGCCCGCCTCAGGGAGTCATTAGCAGGAGCTGTAGTGCCCAGAGCATCCTGGTGTGTCTGTGGCTTCAGAGTCCGGGATGAAGACAGTCACCTATGTGGGTTTAAGTCTAGACCTTGCCTAGGCCAGTGTCCTTGAGCTAGTGGCGCCCCTGTCCCTGTGCCTCGGTTTCCCCTGTGAACTGAAGGGTTGAGCGAGATGATACCTGCTAAGCAGCGAAGCTACTCGCTGCTTGGTATGAAACCATTACTAAAAGGTCAGATACTCTGGAAGATTGGTTGGACGAGGGTTCTGTAGAGATCTTGGGTCCCTGAGGGCAGGAAGGATGCAGGCGCCTTCAGAAAAGCAGCAGGCAGAATGGTGGGGTGAGGAAGTCTGGTTGATGGAGGGGAGGCCCTGAAGGCAGGGCTTCTGGGACAGGGCAGGCTTGTCTTTTCACTGAAGGCAAGGGGTGGGGGTGGCCTCTTCCCCATTTCCTCATCTCCCCTGCCCTAGTCGAGCTTTCCTAGTTCCTTCCAGGGAGGGGCCTGAGTCACTCCTAAGGTGGGGGTGTGATCGCTCTGCCTTCTTCCTTCTCCCTCTCTGGATCCTACCATTGTTTCTGTGCTCCCTTAACCTGCTGCTGATCAGTAACGTGGTTAGCTCAGCCCAGAGCATCGCCTGGGGATGCTGGAGCCAGGCCTGTGCTGAGCAGACTCAAGTAGTACTTTGAAGGCACTCATCTGGAGGGAATGCCTAAACTGTTGGTTTCAGTACAGTTGCTTGGGTTAAGCCTAGAGACCAGAGGGTTTTGTGAGCACCTGGATGTGAGACTTCTGCTGAGGAGCCTGTCAGTCAGGAAGATGGCTGGGAGTAATCTAGGCAGGGCTTATAAGCTAAGCAAACTCAGAAAACTTGATTGGGCACAGGTGGAACTCTGACTGAAGTTTGATGCCGATCCTTTCTCCTGCACTCTTTTCAGTTCATAAGAAACAAAACTAGCACACTTGAGTTGCCTACCTCAAATAGCGTGGATCTGTGTGAGTAGTGGACATTGCTCAGTACTAGTCAGAGGAACTTGGGTCAAATTCAGTTTTAGAATATTGCTCCTATGTCAGGCACTGTGCTGGGTGCTATTTCTCTTTTTGTAACTTTGTCACTTTAGAGTCTGTGGCAAGGCTGATTGTAATACATTAGCATGAACACTTTCTCTTACAGGGTAAAGTCCACACTCTTCAGCCTTCACACTGGCACCGTACTGCCCAGCCATGCCAGCCACTTTGTTCTCAGCGCCAATCTGCCAGGCTCTGTACTAAATTAGTAGTGGATTATTCAGGCCTCTTCACCTGCCAGGGATGCCCTTCTTCCCCTTCTCTTCCTCCTTTTTCTTTGCTCCTTCTGGTACACTTCTGATGGCCTTTCCTCCAGGAAGCCTTCTGCTGATACCTGCTGTGCTCATAATACTAACACTTGTGTGAGTTTTTATCATTGGATTTCTCGTGTCAGAGTGGACGTGGCTCCCCTTTCTGTTTTGGTTTGATCAGTGTTTATGTATGTAGTGTTTCACCTGCATTTGTGTCTGCACACGGTGTGCATCATGTGCTTGTAGTGCCCGGGGAGAAACAGAGCTTCAGGTCCTCTGAACTACGTTTTCTGCAGACCTTCTTTAGGTGCCATGTGGGTGCTGGGAACTGGACCCTGGTTCTCTGCAAGAACATCCAGTTTCTTAGAGCTGAGCTTTCTCTCCAGCCATTCCTCCGTTTGTAAGCTGCAGTGTTCCTAAGGACAGGAAGGCACCTTCATCTTCCCACCTCTGAGAGTGGAACTGATTTAGGGTGTCTCTGTTTAGGGAACGCCTAGCTCAAAATAAATCAGTATACAAGAAGCTCCTATTTAACAGTCTTTTTATGCTCTTTTTTTGTTGTTTTGTTTTTCGAGACAGGGTTTCTCTGTGTAACAGCTCTGGCTGTCCTGAAACTCTTTGTAGACCAGACTGGCTTCGAACTCACAGAGACCCCACCTGCCTCTGTCTCCCAAGTGCTAGGATTAAAAGACCTGCATCACCAATGCCTAACTTTGCATTTTTCTTATTAGTTCTCATAATTGTAGATAGTGGCATCCCGTTTATAGCTGAGGATGACCCCCAGGTTACACACGTCAGGACTTCCAGCTCTAAGAGACAGAAATGGGTCTTGACTTAGTCTGTGGAATTTCTAAAACCTATTCTTGCACTTCCATTTCATTCTCCTGGAACTGGTTCTTATAAGTAGCCAACCATTGCCAGACAAATGGGGGCACCTTGAACATGGAGCTGACAGAACAGTACCAGGGCAAGAGAGTTCATTTGCTTGGGAATCTGGGGAGGTTGTAAAGAGGAGAGGAAGTCACGGATGGTCTAAGAAATCTTGTAAGTTCATTACGAATACTGACTGAGCCCCCTGCTATAGCACCTTACAGGTCCTTTCAGGTAGATATTGTTATTTTTTCTACCTTACAAATGAGGAAATTGAGGCTTAGGAAAATTAAGTGACTTTCTCAAGGTCACACAATGAATAAATGGTAAAACTACAACTTAGATCCAGATTTAATACAAAAATGTGGCTTAAGTTTAAATACTATTATTTTTGCAATGCTAGGACTGAATTTAGGGCCTTTGACATGCAAGATAAGCACAGTACCACTGAACTGCATCACTAGCCAGAATGTATCTTCAGTATTACCAAAATTGGATGTGTCAGAAATGGGATTTAAATTCTGTGTGTAAAGATCTAGTAGAGAAGGAAGTCCTTAAAGTGTGGCGGACAAGGCTTTGGATGGCCAACTATTCAGACATCTGGATGGCACAATTTCTAGTTTCTCAGTTGAGCCTGAGGCAGCTGGCTGGCTCAGTTTCCCCAGTAGCCCACTGACGTCTTCCATACTTACCCTGACTCTGCAGAGAGAGCTCTATTCCTGTGGATGTGGCTCGGCAACGGGAGCTCAAATGGCTGGAAATGTTCAATAACTGGGATAAGTGGCTGTCACGGCGTTTCCAGAAGGTTTGAGGGCTGTGTGGTGGGTTGGACAATGTGCAAGGGTGGGGGAGGGGCAATGCTGATGGAAAGCCCAGGAAACTAATAATATCTGCCCTCCTAACACATTGAAGATCAGTGGTGCTGAGCCTTGGGAGGAGCTTTAAACTGTAGCCAGGCCAGGTCCAGCTTTGTCACAGCTGGCACGTGGGAGGAATGTCTCTGGGAGCCTGATGGCTAGTGGGGAAAGCTTGGAGAATATTCCAGTCCTGAAGCTGTCATCCCTGATGCTACTCTGCCTTAGGTAAAACTGCGCTGCCGGAAAGGGATCCCCTCTTCTCTCAGAGCCAAGGCCTGGCAGTACCTGTCTAATAGCAAGGAACTCCTGGAGCAGAACCCGGGCAAGTTTGAGGTTTGTGCAACTCCGAGGTCTGGGGACACATGGCACTGTCTTTGCAGGAGAACTCAGTTCTCCTGGATCCTGAGGTAACCCCTGCTGTCCCATTGTAGGAGCTGGAACGGGCCCCTGGGGACCCCAAGTGGCTGGATGTGATTGAGAAGGACTTACATCGCCAGTTCCCTTTCCATGAAATGTTTGCTGCTCGAGGAGGGCATGGGTAAGAGCTAACTATGTGGGTCAGTAAGCAGACATCTGTGGAAGGTTCTGGGTAGATACAAGGCTTGGTCCAAGCAATTCTTGCTCTCTAGGGCTCTTAGAGGAGTGATTGACAATCGATTGAGTATCAAGTAGTGATAAAAGAAGTGTCTGATGAGGGAGCAGTCTAATGCGGGTCTTTGTGTAGCACATCAAGGACTATTGAGGTTCTGTTTGTGCTGGGTTTTGAAAGATAGTTGGGGCTAGGGCAGGGCAGGGTTTTCCTTCATAGGAACTCTATAAGCAGTGTCTGGATAGTGGGGTTCTGTAGTGCTGAATCTGGAAGTTTGGGCCAGATCACTAAAAGCCAAGGCACTTGGCTTTTTGTTCTGTAGGTTAAGCTTCGTCAAGATGAAATACAGGTACCACTCCTTATTAGTATACAAGGTGACCTTTCTGCTGTGTTGGAGCTCACGTTAGGCAAGTGTTCTACCACCGAGCTACGTTCTCAGTCCTAGATGAACATTTTTCTTTATGTAATATAAAAACAGTATTATATATTTATTTGTTTTTTCTTTGAGATAGGGTCTGACTATATAGATCATACTGGCTTCAAAAATCAGATCTATCTATCTCTGCCACCCAAATGCTGGGATTATAGATAGGTATGTACTGCCATGTCTAGCTTAAATAAATGATCATCGTTTAACAAATAACAATTGAGTACTACTCTGTCAGGCACTATTCCAGTCACAGATGGCTGCAATGACCCCAAACCCCCAAACTGTCTTCCTGTGGGAATAGGCAGTCCCACATGAAGGAAAGTATGTTGTACGTGAGGTAGTGGAGAGGACTTTAGCACACTAACAGAGAATGGAGGGCTGGAGAGATGGCTCAGAGGTTAAGAGCACTGACTGCTCTTCCAGAGGTCCTGAGTTCAATTTCCAGCAACCACATGGTGGCTCACAGCCATCTATAATGAGATCTGGTGTCCTCTTCTGGCATGCAAGCATACGTGGAAGGAATGTTGTATACATAATAAATAAATAAATAAATCTAAAAAAAAAGGGAGAATGGAGAGCCTGTGGGGACAGAAGGTATGACAGACATGCTACCTACTAGTCAAGACCAGAGAGGTGCGGGGAAAGGGGGTTTGGGTTATGTCAGAAGTTTTAGGGTCAGGCTTGGTAGCTCATGCCTACAGTCTCAGGTGGATTTTTGTGGGTTGGGGTGGGGGCTGGGCATAAAATCAATACTTAGGAACCTGAGGCAGGAGGATTGTCATGACTTTTAGGTCAGCCTAACATACATCTTGAGTTCCAGGACAGTTTGACTAGAGTAAGACTGTAGCAAAGTAGGAGGGGGGTTGTTTTTTGTTCATTTGTTTGTTTTGAGACAGGGTTTTTCTGTAGCTTTGGTGCCTGCCTTGGAACTAGTTCTTGTAGACCAGGCTGGCCTTGAACTCACAGAGATCTGCCTGCCTCTGCTTCCTGGAGTGCTGGGATTAAAGGCGGCTAGGAGGGCCTTGTTTATTGGACATCCAGGGAATGTAGGCAGGTTGGGTACCCACTATATTATAAGTCTGGATTTCAGGGAAAGAGTTTATATTGGGAATAAATAGGGATTGAAAGTGTGCTTATGGAGGGATTAGACTCACAGGGGACTCGATGTGATCACAAAGCTTCAAGTATAGCTCAAAAGGAAGGTGTGACCTAGTGTGGTGGTGCACACTTTTATTTTAATTCCAGTACTGGGTAGGCAGAGGCAGGTGAATCCCTGTGAGTTTTAGACCAGCCAGGCATGCATAGTGAAACCTGTCTCAAAAAAAAAAAAAAAAAAAAGGCTAAACAAGCAAGACTTGAGCCCTGAAGTACCAGTGTGTTGGTGTTGGGAATGAGACGATGAAAAAATTACAGAGAGGGCATTTAGGACTTGAAGCTATAGAGGGAAGAGGAGAGCCTCACTTCTAAAGCAACGTGAAAAATAGCCTCGAGAATCCACTTCAGGAAATGGTGCTGAGGGATGAGTAAATCCAAATCTGAGAACTAACTTGGATGTAACACTATGTAAGTCAGTAGTGACTTTTTTTTTTTTAAAGATTTATTTATTATGTATACAACATTCCTTCCATGCATGTTTGTATGCCAGAAGAGGGTACCAGATCTCATTATAGATGGTTGTGAGCCAGTATGTGGTTGCTGGGAATTGAACTCAGGACCTCTGGAAGAGCAATCAGTGCTCTTAACCTCTGAGCCATCTCTCCAGGCCCCAGTAGTGACTTTTTTTTGAGACAGTCTTGCAGTTCTGAAAATCTTCCTGCCTTCAGCCTCTCCCGTCCTGGGGTTAAAGGTGTGAGCCACTACAGCGGGCTTATTAATGATCTGATGAAGGCAGTTTTGTGGGGAACAGTAGGCAAGTGCCTGCCAAAAGTGTAGGAGGAAGAAGAGCGCAGGAGACAGTGAGAGTGTTTTCTAGAGCACCCTGGCTGACAAGGTAAGGAAAGAAAGAGTTAGTTTTTGGAGAGGAGAGTGGGATTAAGGGACACAACAAGTGAGAGCCGGTGAGGTGGCTCACAAGCCTGACAACGTCAGTGAGTAAAAATAAGAAGAGACAGCAGGCCTGGACATGTAGCTCAGTGCTAGAGTGCTTGTTTGCCTAGCATGCACAAGGCACTGGGTTCAAACCTAGCACTGCAAAAGAAATAAAGACTTAAAAAACAGATTATTACTAGGCTGATTTAATGATTTAATAGAAAAACGGATGAAGCAGAAAAGATGGCACACTAATAGCTGAAAGAAAGGCTGGGATCTCGTCATAGGCGGAGGGGTGGATATGGTCGAGGCTACATTTTTGTGTGCCTGGTACCAGAGGATGTCAGAAGAGGTGCAGGACCATCTGGAACTGAAGTTACAGATGGTTGTGAGTCACCATGTATGTGGGTACTGGTAGCTGAACTTGGGTCCTTTGCAAGAGCAAAAAGTGCTCTTAACTACTGAGCCGTCTCTCCAGCCCCCAGTATTTTGTTAGTGTTAGTTCAATATGGGCTACTTTTATTACGTAAAATAATCAGCATTGTCAAATATGTTATTTCGTTTGTATTTTGAGAATTAAATACCAAAATAAGTAAATAGGGGTGGGACACATCTCATTCAGTAGAATGCTTGTCTAGCATACATGGTTCTGAGTGACTCTGAGTCCCACAGGAAACAAGTGTGATGGTGCACACCTTTAGTCCTGGTACTGGAGAGAGGGCGGTAGGACGATCGGAAATTCAGGATCAGGTTTGAGCAAGGGCTACATGAAACCCCACCTCAAATTTTTAAAGTAATAGTGATGTAGTTGCAGATAAGATATAAATGGTCACATATGAATGACTGGATTTGGGGTGGTGCTAATGTAAGCAGTATTAGCAGTATGACTGGAAGCAGGGAGATCTGGAAGGTTAATAGATATTTTGGGACAAGAGATAGAGGTCAGAGAGGAAGTAGCTGTGGAGTGGGGAAAGAACAGGTGTCCATTAAGTTCGTGATATGGTATGGCTCAGACTTGGTGGCTACCCTTTGAGAAGCTGTTTTGGAGTAGATGGAAATATCAGATATGAAGGAACTCAGCAAAGAAAAGAAGGCTAGGACACAGATCTGGTTCAGTGTAGAGATAAGAGTAAGAAGTGGGGTACAGCTGGTTTCCTGGCCTTTAAGAACCAGGACTACTGGATATGCTAAGAGGTCTGATAAAATCCAGTGAAACAGATAACCCTCTTGATTGACTGTCCTGGGTTTAAACACACTTGCTTCCAGAGAAGGGCTAATATTGTAGTTATTGATAAGTTCCTGGAGAAAATGACCATGATTGCTTTGGGGGTGGTTGTAGGTCAAGGAGGAAGTGGGTAGGAAGCTTATGGGGTATGCAGCCAAGGATGAAAGGCTAGGACCTAGAATGCTTTGCTGAGCCTCTGGTACGCAGGTCTGGGAAGGTAGATGGCTAAGTGGTAGTAAAGATCTGAGATTAGCTTGGAACTTGTAGGAGAGTTCTGGTCCAGGGGCAGGGGCAGGTTTGATGATTGCCATCTTCTGCACTCCCCTTAGGCAACAGGACCTGTACCGAATCCTGAAGGCCTATACCATCTACAGGCCTGACGAGGGCTACTGTCAGGCCCAGGCCCCAGTGGCTGCTGTGCTGCTCATGCACATGCCTGCGGAGGTCAGCATATGTGGACCTGGTTGGGGTGGGGGTGAGAAGATCTTGGCATACCATGGTGATGGGAGAGCTGCCTACTCCCTGCTTCTCAGGCCCCATCCCTGCCTCCTTGTTCTTGCCCTTCTTAGCAAGCCTTTTGGTGCCTGGTACAGATCTGCGACAAGTACCTCCCAGGTTACTACAGTGCAGGGCTGGTGAGTGTCTGGAAGCTGGGTGCCCTGGGGCTGTGACCTTCCCCAAGGCTGCCATAGGTCCTTGCCTTGCCTCATTTGTCCTTCCGTTCCTCTACCACTGAGGTTAAGACACCCTCTTAGGTTTGATTGTACCGAGGGGAACATAGCAAGCCAGACCCATTTCTCATGGCTCTTCCCACCACTTCTAGGAGGCCATTCAATTGGATGGAGAGATCTTTTTTGCGCTCCTGCGCCGGGCTTCCCCACTGGCACATCGGCACCTTCGGCGGCAGCGCATTGACCCTGTGCTCTACATGACAGAATGGTTCATGTGCATCTTTGCTCGCACCCTCCCGTGGGCTTCAGTGCTGCGTGTCTGGGACATGTTTTTCTGTGAAGGTATTTCAGTGGCTGCCTAGGCTCGGGGGCTAGGATTTGTCACATTACTGGTGGCCCATGGACAAAAGTATTGTTGGGCCTAGGCTTTATAATAAGCAATCTACTAACAGGGAAAACAGGACCCATCTTGATTCAAGCCACAAACCTAGAGTCTGTTTGCCCTCTAAGAAACCTGCAACCTATAGCAACTTTCTTCACCTATAAGGTGGGCAGTTAACAGCAACAGGGGCTGTCTTTCCTATATGAGAAAGGCTAAGATCCTGGACCTGATCTCTTTGTGCGCCTCTCTGACCCTGTAGGCGTTAAGATCATCTTCCGAGTGGCTCTTGTCTTGCTGCGACACACATTGGGTTCTGTGGAAAAGCTGCGCTCCTGTCAAGGCATGTATGAAACCATGGAGCAGCTTCGAAACCTGCCACCACAGTGTATGCAGGAGGACTTCCTGGTGCATGAGGTAGGCCTTGAGCCTCAGCACACCTTGGTCTCTTCAGCCCATATCCAAACCCATCTATACTCTGGCTCCCATGTCTTCTGTCTAGGTAACCAACCTCCCAGTGACAGAAGCATTGATTGAGCGGGAGAATGCAACCCAGCTGAAGAAGTGGCGGGAAACTAGGGGAGAGCTGCAGTATCGGCCCTCACGGCGACTACATGGCTCCCGAGCTATCCATGAGGAGCGCAGGCGGCAGCAGCCACCCCTGGGCCCTTCCTCCAGCCTCCTCAGCCTCCCTAGTCTTAAGAGTAGAGGCTCCCGGGCAGCTGGAGGGGCTCCTTCCCCACCACCTCCTGTCCGCAGGGCTAGTGCTGGCCCTGTTCCTGGGGCTGTCGTCACTGCTGAGGGACTACACCCATCCCTTCCTTCACCCACTGGCAACAGCACCCCACTAGGCACCAGTAAGGAGACCCGGCGGCAGGAGAAAGAGCGGCAGAAACAGGAGAAAGAGCGGCAGAAACAGGAGAAAGAACGGCAGAAACAGGAGAAAGAGCGAGAGAAGGAGCAGCAAAGACAGGAAAAAGAGCGGCAAAAATGGGAAAAAGAACAAGAGAAGGAACAGCAGAAGCAGGAGAAGGAGCGGCAGAAACAAGAGAAGAAAGGCCAAGGCCGGAAACTTTCCTTGCGTCAAAAGGCAGATGGGCCTCCAGCACCCCATGATGGTGGAGACAGGTCAGCAGCTGAAGCCCGGCAGGATGCTTACTTCTGACCTCTTGCTGGGTCTGGATGACATGGCCCTCTTCCTTTTTCCTCAGTCAAGAGCAGACCTAGCAGGGGTGTTCTCCCAGCTCCCTTGGCAGGCTCTTCCTTTTTCTGAGGAAAGTGGCTTGATTCCCCTGACTCCTTGCCAGCTGCTGATCCCTACATGGCCTGGACAGCCACAGTGCATGGGACAGTTATATTTCCTAGGGTAGCAGTGACCAAGTCTGGAGACTCTTTCGTCCAGTTAGGCTCAGCTTGGGTCTCTGTCACTCCTACGGGACTCCTTCTGGGGCACTGTCTGAATTTGCCTTTTGTCACCACAGGGTGACTCTGGCAATGACAGTTAGCAGTTGCAGATTCTTACACTCCAGCGGCTTCCCTTAGATGGTGGAGCTAGGTTCCTTTTCCTGTTTTGGGGCCCTGCCTGTCACCCCACTGGGGGCCAAGGCTATTTTTTCTCTCCTGGATATCCTTGTGTTGTAATTATGTACAGAAGGTCAGGTTGGCCTGGGGTGGGGTGCTCTGACCTGTGTTCCACAGTGCTCCTGTACTCCAGTTTATTTAAGGGGACGTACAGTTGTCCTCCATTTCCTTCCCACCTGTGTCCTGCTCTCCCTCCTAACCCACTTGCTTTGTATGCTCAAGCCTCTCTGCCGCCTCATTAGGAAGCCTGTCTTTCACTTTGTTCCTTTCCAGCCTTCAAGCCCCTCTCTGAGTAAGGGTCTTCCCTTGAGTACAGGGGGTGGAACCCAATGTTTACATTCTCTTCTGTCTTGGTCCCCATCCCAGTGGCGGTTTTGTGGCGCTTTGAGGAACCGGAAAAAGAACCTGCTGTTATACCTGGATCTGTCTCCTGCCTTGTTATTTAAAGAGGGCTTTGGGGTAAGGGGAGGGAGCCAGGAAGAAAGTCTGAGTCTCCACTCTCATTCTGACCTTAGCAGGTACATCTAGACTACCCAAGCCTAGCGGTCCAGCTCCTGCCTCAGCTTTGCTTGGGATCTGCTGCCTCCACTATCACTGGCTTCCTGGGGCCCTCTGCACAGCTCAGAGCACTGAGATCCCCTTTCCAACATGCTTGTGCACTCCTGGAAGCTGAAGGAGGGCTACGGGGACTGCAAAGCCAGTCTTCAGGTTCTTGGTCAGCAGCTTGGTGCACTTCCTGGTACTGGGCTTCTAGGGTGGACTAGCTGTCTTCAGTTCATCTCTGCAGGTGCATACAACCAATCATCCAATTCTTGTTTTCTGTGGCTACCTTGTAGTGTCATCGGCTACCACCCCAGATTCTACCCAGGGGTCAGGATAGTAAAGGGATGGGGTCCTCTGGTCCTAAGGTGGAGCTCCTCATGGCAGGCAGTTCTCAGCAGGATGAGGCTCAGGGGTGTGTGATCTCTAGGTAGAAGAGGAAGTTCCCTCCGGGATGAAACAGCAGTGCTAAGAGCTGGTGTTTCAGGATCCTTTCTGTGTAGCAAGATGCCCTCCTGGTCTAGGACCTGTGTTCTGTGTCCATGGAAGAAACTGAGGACACACTTCCAAAAAATTTCGTCGTGATTCAGAATGGAGAAAATCCTGCAGGGGAAAGGTGTGGTCCATCTGGCCGCCCTCATTCAGCTACTGCAGGATCACCTGAGCTATCTTGCCTGGGGGTGGAGGTGTTCCTAAGAGCTCCAGATCTAGACCTGCTGTCCAGATTTTACCTGGCTCCACCTTTTCAGGAGCCAGCTTCCAGCACCTCGGCAGTTTGCGGAAGGGGCGGAGTAGACTTCACTTGGTAACTGGTTCAAGAACTTTTCTGGGTGAACCAGAGAGCAGGGCGCTATGGACTTCTGCCTGGATACTAGGCGCCGATGTCAGTGCCACTTCCTGTTATGGCTGTTCCACTGCGAAAACTAGGAACTGAGTAGGGAAGACATGGGGCAAATGACTCCCAGGGTCCTAAAAGCTAGGTTTGAAAAGTGCCGAAGTGCTGACAATCAGAAATAGGACTCAGGAAGAAAAGCAAGGGTTTTTGTTTGTTGTTTTTAAGAGACGGTCTCACGTATCACCGATTGGCCTTAATCTCGCGACAATAATTCTGCCTGTTTCTCTGGTGCTGGGACTGTCAAGTTTGGAACACAGGGTTCCTATTGAATGCTGTTGGGAGCAAAGAACCCTATCTATAAAGTCAAACTGGAACCCACAGCCTCCGCTCGGCTTTGTCCCTCCATCCAGGTCTTGGGCACCTATTTAAGCAGACAGAGCGCCACGTCCCCAGCAAAACCTCCATTGTAGAGGAATAACAAACACTTCCCGCCATCCTCAAGCGGGCGAGGCAGGTACGGGAGTTCACGTGAGCCTACGTCACTTCCTTCGAAGACAGCCTTAGTTAATGGTATACATCCGCCAGTACCGACAGTCTTTAGGCGAGGAGTGAAACCACTTCCGGCCCTCATGGCGCCCTCCAGAGTCTCCTTCCGGGTGATGGAGGCGAGTGGCCCGGATGTAATACTGGCGAAGGCATCTTTCCTTTTCTTCCCCGCCTGGCTCTGGGTTTCTAGGTGAGCGCCGGCCGGTAAGAGTACTGTTCGGATACCTGCGGATTTGCTTCCTCTGTAACTTGTACGCCGCATGTGACGTGGTCGAGCTGGTTGCTCTGTGGAGTTGGGGGTTCGAAGCAACTAGGACGCCAGCTCTTGGGTCCGACCGGCCTCTGAGGGCACTCGGGTGGGAGAGCTGGTTGAGCTCTGTAGCCCGGACTGGTAGGGAGCGATGACGTCCTGGAGCCCTTTCTCTCCTGGGTGGGATACCCACAGGGTCCACGCGGGGGCGGAGGTCCTTCACGTATCCTCCCTTCAGCGCCTCCGAATTGCTAAACCAGTACCGGACGTCCTGCCTGCTGCCTCTTTCTGATGGTTTAGTGATCCTTCCTCTCTCAAGCGGGACCTGGCACTTAGCAAGAAAATGTGTGTGTGGGCACTCTAGCCGCCGGCTCTCCTCCCCTAATTTCCTTACCCTCTCTTTATCCGGTCCAGCTGGAGGAAGTGTTCTGCCAGTCATGCCAAAGAGGAAAGTGACTTTTCAAGGAGTAGGAGATGAGGATGATGAAGATGAACTCAGTGTTCCCAAAAAGAAGGTGAGATGATGAGACTCCTGAGTACTGTGGCTCATTGAGGGGAAATAAGAGGGAGGCGTCTGATGGGAGGAACGCTGAGACGCGGAAGAAAGAGTTTTCCCCGGTGCACTGGTTTGGAAGGTTTCCTGTTTGGATACAGGTCCTAGAATATTTGGGAAACTAGCCAGTCGGTTGTATTTCTCATTTGCTACTTCCTACTCACAGTTGGTGGACCCTGTGGCTGGAGCAGGGGGTCCTGGGAGCCGCTTCAAAAGCAAACACTCTTTAGACAGTGATGAGGAGGATGACGATGACGAAGGCTCCAGCAAGTATGATATCCTGGCCTCAGAGGATGTGGAAGGTGAGCTATTCCCGAAGTTAGCTAACTGTGTTGGGGGGGACAGGTCAGAGTGTGGAGGGGGGAGGTGTGCCTGTTTGGTTTTTGCATGCCTCGCATGGGGCCCCCATGTCTTTGGTGCAGGTCAGGAAGCAGCTACTCTCCCTAGTGAGGGGGGTGTGAGGATCACACCCTTCAACCTGCAGGAAGAGATGGAGGAAGGCCACTTTGATGCTGACGGCAACTACTTCCTGAACCAGGACGCGCAGATCCGAGACAGCTGGCTGGACAACATTGACTGGGTGAGGCTCAGTTCTTTTGGCTGAGGCTGTGAAATGCAGGTGGTGGGCCTGGGCCCTGGTGGAAGTTTGCAGGAAATAAGAATTACCTTTCACCTACAGGTGAAGATCAAGGAGCGGCCACCTGATAAGCACCAGGTTTCAGACTCAGAGGAGGAAGACGGCGTGGGGCAGACTCCAATGAGTGCCCAAGCCCTTCTGGAGGGACTTTTAGAGCTGTTGTTGCCAAGAGAGACAGTGGCTGGGGCACTTAGGCGCCTGGGGGCCCGAGGAGGTGGCAAAGGGGACAGTAAGGGGACTGGACGGCCCAATTCCCCGCAGCGCCTAGACCGGCTCTCTGGGTTGGCTGATCAAATGGTGGCTCGCGGCAATCTTGGTGTGTACCAGGAAACAAGGGAACGGTTGGCCATGCGACTGAAGGGGTTGGGGTGTCGGACCCAGGGGTCCCATGACCCCACGCCTCCACCCTCCCTGGACATGTTTGCTGAGGAAGTGACAGAGGGGGAACTGGAAACTCCAACCCCTACCCATAAAGAAGGTAAGTGTAGAAGGCACAGGAGGGACAGTGTGGGCAGGAGACTGAGCACTTGAGGCCCCGCTACCTTTGTTGTTCTAGACGCAGAGGCCGTGGGAGATGGTCTGATGGACGTGATGTGGGAATACAAGTGGGAGAACACGGGAGATGCTGAGCTGTACGGACCGTTCACCAGTGCCCAGATGCAGGTGAGTCCCTCTCTGCCTTACCTCCCCGTCCCAGCTTCTGTCACCTTTCTTCAGCTTTGTCCTTTCTTTCTGCAGACCTGGGTGAGTGAGGGCTACTTCCCGGATGGTGTTTATTGCCGGAAGCTGGACCCTCCAGGTGGTCAGTTCTACAATTCCAAACGCATTGATTTTGATCTCTACACGTGAGCCTGCTAAAGGTCCAGTGTGGCAGCCCCTTTGTTCTTGGACTTGGCAGAGGAAGCGCCAGCTGCCCTGGGCAGTGAGGATATTGGAGGCTACTTTCCAGCCAGTTTTTCTTTCCCAATAAAAGCCTTGAGTGTGTGTGCATCAGGGCCTGGACTGTGCTGAGAGCCTGGAGCCAGGAGTCAGGGTTTCTCTTGAGCCTCTCCTCAGGTGCTTTTCCCCGTGTCTCGGACCAGCTCAGTTTGTTCTTCACCTTTGGTGGCAGTGGTAGGGCCCGTCTGGCGTCCTGTGACTTGCCATGTAAAATTCCCTCAGTCACTCTTCTCCCATCTCCCCGCAAGTCCTGCTCTGCTGACCTTTGGCTTTTAGGACTTAGATTCTCTGGCCTGTCAGCCCTCTTGTTACTGGGACATGTGGAAGAGTTTGAGACCCTATTGAGAGTGTACAGGAAGCCTCTTAAACATGGAAGCTCCTCTTCCCTCTCATCCGGTTTTTCTGTCCCTTGCAGTAGTTCCCATGGCTCATAGGTGAAGTGTACACTCATAGCTTTTCAAAGCTGCTTGGGCCACCATGCAGTATAGAGGCACAGAGAGGGGCAGTGACTTCCTGGAGATCACACAGTAAATTAGAGAGCTGGCCCAGACTCAGTGAATTGCTTCCCTGACCTTTCTTGGCATAAAGCTCTTTCTTCCTTGGCCTTTCGGGTCCTGCAATTTCTATTTTCCAGGCTTCCACATCTTTGGCATAGGGCTGGTACCCTCCAGGAGTCCTGAGTGCTGCGGGAGGCAGGCACGGTCCTAATGACCGTGCTTCTCGCCCGCCGGTGCTGTCCTGAGCCCCCCTCACCTGTGCATCCTGGACATGAGAGGTATCCTGAGAGCCGCAGGGCGTAGGAGCTAGGCTGGGAATGTGGAAAGTAGGGGCTCTGGCTTGGTTGTGGTGCTGGATGCATTAGTCCCTGTTCACTGCCCGCCTAGACCACAATTTCCTGACTTGGAGAAGCCCATTAGTGGTAAGACATCTACTTAACGTTAGTTATAAGGTGTTACTGGTTAAAGGATGGATCTCTTTCAGAGATATTTAATAGTGGAAAGTTGATGCCTAGGGTGAGTGAAATCCAGTCCGTAGCCTGAGTGAGTGTTTGAGACGACACCAGGTCCTTCCCTGAGGTGTCCTCCAGGTGCCTCAGATTTGAGCTACCTTTCTGTGTGCCCTTCACTGATGACATCGAGGAGGGGCAGAATATTAGTCCCCAAGGATAGCCTCCTCCAGAACCCAGACCCATAGAGGAAAGGGGCCGTGCAGATGTGGTGAAGTTAAGAATTTTTTAAAATTTTTTGAGATGAGGTCTCATTGTGTATCCTTGGCTGGCCTGGAACTCACAAGAGATCTGCTTGCCTCCAGTCCTGAGTGTTGGGATTAAAGGTGTGGGCCACAGTGCTTAGCAAAATTGAGAATTTTTGAAACTGGGAGATTACCTTTGATTATTGGTGTGGGACCATTGTAATCACTGGGTCCTTATGCTGGAAACGGAACTGAGAGACTCTCAGCAAGAGAGCAGAGGACTCTGTCTGAAAGATGGAAGGGTGCAGGTGGCCTGGAGAAATGAGAAAGACAGATGGGTTCTTCCAGACATGCGCAGCACAGCGGTGGTACCCAGGGAAACTAACTGTGGGCTCGTGAACTCTGGGACTGTAAGATAATAAATCTGTGTGAAGCCACTTGTGTTGTGGTCATTTGATAGGGCACCAGTAGGAAATGAAAATACACCTACTCTCTGGAGAGCCCCAACCACTTTTGAACCCTATTGGTGCTCGCCAGAGTTCTTTGTAGTTCTCCCAGCCAAGCTCTCCACCAGGCCCAGCCTGGCTTAGGTTTTGAGATTGGAAACAACATTCAGGGTGGTATGACCATGTGCTTTCTTAGCACAAAGCCAGGAATTGTTTGGATGGGGTTTGGTTTTGTGTTTTGCGACAAGGTCTCCCTATACTCTGGCTGTCCTGGAATTCACACTGTAGACCAGGCTAGTCTTAACTCACAGAGATCCACATGCCTCTGCCTCCCCAGTGCTAGGTAAACCACCTCCCTCCCCAATAATAAAACTACAATGTAATTAAAAAGAAAAAACAAAAAACAGGCTGGAGAGATGCCCGGGCGGTTAAAAGGACCAAGGTTTGATTCTCAGTTCTTACACCTTGGCTCACAACTGTCTCTGTTCCAGGGAATGTCGTGATGTCATGCCTTTAGCTTTTGCGGGCACCGGGCACACATGTGGTGCAGACATAACATGCAGGCAAAGCTCCCATAACACATTTCTTTTTGTTTTCGAGATAAGAATTTCTTTGTACCTTTGGGGCCTGTCCTAGAACTCACCGTGTAGACCAGGCTGGCCTTGAACTCACAGAAATCTGTCTGCCTTTGCCTCCCAAGTATGCCACCACCACCTGGCTTTTTTTTTTTTTTTTTAAATTAAAACATCTCAGCAGTGTGGCTTTAGCTGACGACTTCATTGTCTGGCCCTGGTGATCCCTGCCAACACTACCTGCCTGGATTTGTGGGTGTTGTGGATAAATGGAACCATACAGCATGTGATCTCCTCTGTCTTACTTTCTATACCTGTTTTTAGAGTTTACCCATGGTATAGTATGTAACTTTCCCCCCTTTTTTAGAGGGGTAGGATGGGGAGGGGGATAGAGTTTCTATGTAACCCAGGCTGGCCTGGAACTCACTATGTAGACCAGGCTGACCTCAAATCTAGAGGTCTGTCTGCTTCTGTCTTGAGTTCTGGGTTTAGAGGCCTGTGCCACCATGACAGCGCAGGGGCTCCATTCTTTGTTGTTGGCTTGTCTTTTGGATGGATAGTATGTTACTATTACGAAGGATTTGTGTTTTACTGGTTCTCCCTTACTGCCTTTAATTTTTATTTTTGAATGTGATGTAAGAGATGGAACCCAGGACTTTAAACAACTGTTTTTTATTAATTGAGAATTTCATACAATGTATTTTTAGTTATATTCATTTCCTTTCCCCAGTGCCTCTCATATCCAACCTTATTCCCTACCACCCAAATGTGAGGGTTTTTATTCCCCACCAAGTTCACCTTGTATCGCCCAGCTACTCTTGAGTGGAATGGAACCCAGGGGTTTGCATCGGCCAGACAAGCCAACCACCACTGTGCTACATCCCTAGCCCTGAAAACTCTATCTGTGTGCACACTCACACGTGCAGATGGGGTCTTGTGGATCCTGGGGACCGATCAGGTTGCTTGGCTTGATAGCAAATTCCTTTCCCAGCCGAACCATCTCACTGGCCACTCTTTAAAAATGTTTTATTTCTTGGTGCCCAAGCTGGCCTTGATGAATCTTCCTGTCCCAAGCCCTTGACTGCTGGAGTTAGGAGGTGTGCCATGTCCAGCTATTCTGTTCACTTGGCATTGGTAATGGCTCCTGCTGCTTTTCAGGTGAAGTCCCAAAGCCGGAAGCTATTTGGGAAGCTCCCCCGTTTGACTTCAGCCTACTTTTTTTTTTCTTTTTTCTTTTCTTTTTTTTTTTTTTACCACATTACCAGCCCCAGTTCCCCAAGCCTGGCCCCAGACACTGTCTCTTTTCCCTGTCCCTCCTTCCCCCGCCCAGCCTTAAGGAAAGATGTCTCTTGTGTCAGTTTTTTTTTTTTTTTTTTTTTTTCGAGACAGGGTTTCTCCGTAGCTTTTGGTTCCTGTCCTGGAACTAGCTCTTGTAGACCAGGCTGGCCTCGAACTCACAGAGATTCGCCTGCCTCTGCCTCCCGAGTGCTGGGATTAAAGGCGTGAGCCACCACCGCCCGGCTCTTGTGTCAGTTTTTGAGGTCTCAGCCCACGGTTGCCGTGGGCCTGTGGTGAGGCTGAACACGGTGCAGAAGACTGAAAGAGAACAGCTTACCCTGGGAGCCCTTTCTCCAGCTGTCAGGGACTTAGGGTGAGGGACACTGGTTGAAGATGTGCTGCGTTCATTTCTGCAGTGGAACATTTGTTTAATGCAAAGATGTGCTGTGTTCTTTTATGCTGCATTTGTTTAACTCTGTAAAGCTATGTTGCTTTGCCTGTCTTAAAACACCTGATTGGTCTAATAAAGAGCTGACCGGTCAATAGCGAGGCAGGAGAGAAATAGGTGGGGCTGGCAGTCAGAGAGAATAAATAGGAAAAACCTAGGGAAGAGCGAGGAGGAGGAAAAGAAGGAGGTGAGGACGCCAGGGGCTAGCCACATAGCCTTGGAGTAAGTAGGAAGAAAGATGTACAGAATGAAGAAAGGTAAAAGAGCCCAGAGGCAAAAAGTTAAAGAGAAATGGGATAATTTAAGTCAGCAAAGCTGGCTAGAAACAAGGAAGCCAAGACCAAGCATTCAGAAGAATAAATCTCCATGTATTTATTTGGGAGCTGGATGGCGGCCCCCCAAAGAGTTTTTTTTTTTTTGTTTTGTTTTTTGTTTTTTTTTTTACTCTGGCCTTCCTGAGTTCCCACCCCTCACTTGCCAGCATGGTAATTGTTTGTTCCAGTGAGTCTATAGCTCAGGTGTGTGATTCAGCACAGAAACCACCTTTCCCATTCACTGTTCTCCACGAGCCTTAGAGCCAGGCAGATGACAGGAAATGGCGCGGCTGTTTCCTGTCTGTTCCAGGCAGGCCAAAGAGGGTGTGATGCCTGTGTGTGGCTCATACCTGTAATCCTAGCCCTGTGAGTCGGAGGCAGGAGGATCAGGAGCTATTTGCTTTGCTGACTAAGAAGATAAGGTGTAGTTTGGATGGTGGTATTAGACTTCTGAACCCAGAGGTTACTGGTGGGCATCTTAGTTAATTTTTTTTTCTGTAATAAAAACATGATCCAAGCCAGGTGGTGGTGGCACACACCTTGACCAGTCTCTGAGTTCAAGGCCAGCCTGGTCTATGGAGCATCTAAGACAGCCAGGGCTACACAGAAAACCCCTATTTTGAAAAACAAAACAAGGGCTGGAGAGATGGCTCAGAGGGTAAGAGCACTGATTGCTCTTCCAGAAGTCCTGAGTTCAATTTCCAGCAACCACATGGTGGCTCACAAAAATCTGCAATGAGATCTAGTGCCCTCTTCTGGCCTGCAGGCATACATGCAGCCAGGATACTGTATGCATAATAAATGAAGTCTTTAAAAAAAAAGAGAGAGAGAGAAAAGGGCTCAGAGGTTAAGAGCACTGGCTGATCTTCCAGAGGACCTGAGTTCAATTCCCAGCAACCGCATGGAGGCCCCCAGCCATCTGTAACTCTGGCTCTGTAGGACAGTTGTTCACAACCTGTTGGTTGTGACCCTTTGGGAGTCAAATGACCCTTTTACAAGGGTCACCTAGGACCATCAGAAAACAGATATTTGCATTATAATTCATAACAGTAGCAACTTTATGAAGTAGCAATGAAAATAATTTTATGGTTGGGGGTCACCACAACATGAGGAACTGTATTAAAGGGGCACAATATTAGTAATGTTGAAGACCACGCTCTAGGGGATTGGCAGTCCCCTTCTGGCCTCCACAGGCAGCAGACACACAGGTGGAACACACACACACAGCACAACACCTGTACACATAAAAGGAAAAAGAGTGGGGGACACATTCTGAGCAGTGCATCATTGGGTGGGATGCTTTTTCATTTTCATACAGTGTTGTTGTGCCGGCAACAACGTGTGTGTTACTGAACAAACCTGAGTTGTGTGACCTGTTGCACACCTTCCATTTGGGTCCTCTGCTGCAACCCTGCATGTGTGACATGCTAAACATGACAGACAAGTGTAAGGCAGTGGGAATACGTATGCCTAAGCACGGAACAAGACCAGGAAAGATGCCAGGCAAGTTACTAAACCTAGACACTTTCAGGCCTATTCTACGGGCTGCATGCCTCCAGAGGGTCCAGGGAGAGGGTAAATGCCCCGCCTCCACATGGCTGGCCCCAGAGGAGCTGCTGACAGGAGGGCTACAGAGAACCTTGTTACCACCAGCCTCTCAGGACTGCCCTTCTCCCCAGGACCCGTGGAATTTGCTCCTTCGTGTTTCCTTCCTTCTTCCTCTTCTCTTCTCCACCCCCGACTCATCATGTAGTCTGAATTCCTGTTCCTGCGACAACCCTACAAGTCTAGAAGGACAGCTCTGTGTCACCATCTCTCTCTCTCTGAGATAAGGGTTCTCTGTGTTGCCCTGGCTGTCCTAGAAATTGCTCTATAGACCAGGCTAGCCTTGAACTCACAGAGATCCGCCTGCCACTGCCTTCCAAGTGCTGGGATTAAGGCGTGCGCCACTGCCGCCCCGCTTGTTTTTATTTTTTAACTATATTTTTTTGGTGCTCAAATCCAGTCCCACTTTGTGTCCCCCATAAACAGGGGATGGGCTTGGGAGGAGCCTTAGCTTTCCACTGACATCTCTGAAGTTCTCTGTGGAGGTCAGCAGGTGGCTCCATTCTCTATGTTTGTGAATGTCCTGCAGTGCACGCTGGAGGCCACCATGGTCAGGCTGCTGGGAGTTCAACTGTCACGAACTCCTCTGGCTCTATGCAGAGGTCTGAAGCCCGTGGAACGGTCTTTAGACACTAGAGACACAGCGGGTTGTGAGCTGCCGTGTAAGGACTGAGACTTGAACCTGGGTCCTCTGAAAGAACAAGGACTCTTCAGCACTGAGGCAGCTCTCTTGATAGGGGTGCTCCTGAAAGTGCCCCACTGATCACGCATTTA